CCAATTACTGCTATTATTTCAAGCACTGTATACCCTTTGTTTGCTTCTTGCCACTTAGGCGGTTTATGAGGATTTATCTATCTATAGAATTCAGTCCAAACACATGAAAGATATGTGGGGTACTCAAAAAAGATAATCATTAAATACGCACCCCTTTTATGAAAAAGGAGGAAATCTGTAAGATATTGTAAAATGAAAAAAATAAGCCATACTATTATACATAATATATCATTTTTAAGATTGGTGGTTATCTAGATTGGAATTTTGAGAGAATACGTCACAAAACAAATGTCTACACAGGAAGCAACCAATGGATTTGGCCATCACAATTCATTCCCCAGGCTGCATGATAGTTCCACAGTATTAATGTCATACATATTGAAGCAGAATAGGTATGCATTTGCTATCCCCAAGCTATTAAACTGCCAGAAGTCAGAATGACTGCTTCCCTGCAAGGCTTACCATGTGCTGAAGGTATTCAGCCTCATGACAGATTTCTTTTAAGTGGCTGCCAATAGAGCTACAACACAGCTAGACTATAGATATGTAAATAGCTATTCACTGATTATATTCATAGCTGAACTCCAGGCATACATACAAACACACCAATTAAGTCAGTTATGTGTTCATCATGAAATATATTTTTCAATAACACTTGTGTAATAAATGAATTTGACTTGTATTCCCTTGAATAGAAGAGCTTGAACTGTGAGAAAGAGGACCAGTACTTGTCTAACAGAGAAATTGCTGACAGGAGAAGTGATCAAAGGGATGATTCTGCTGCTACTTCACTGTCTAATTACAAACTGGTAGCAAGTAAATAACTAAGTTGTATTGCTTAACGGCAGTTGAGAAAGACCAGTCACCAATCTGGCTGTGCTATCTGGCAGGGCTTTGTGAATCTCAGTACTGGATAGATAGAAACACAAACACTTTGACAGGTAAATGGCTCTAATATACTGTATGTATTTCAACCATGTATTTACTGAACACAGTTCCAAGTTATTAGCCTACAAAACCATGATGAAATGTTACTTAGGCCTTGTTCTGAATTGTGGCATTCCTTGTTTGACAAGCAATAAGACAGGATGTCCATACAAAAAGATGGCAACTACTCCAATTTATAACTAGCCTTTGCAGTAGGATGCACATGGAAGGACAATGCACATCACAAACAGACAAAATGTTCCCAGTAAATTTACCAGCTAGCCTGGAAACAAGCCAAATTGACCCTGTCTTAACACTTCATGTTAAAAACAGAGGTTTTCATTTCACATGTTTGCACATATACACTATATTGCCAAAAGTGTTGGGACACCCCTCCAAATCATTGCATTCAGGTGTTCCAATCATTTCCATGGCCACAGGTGTATAAAATCAAGCACCTAGGCATGCAGACTGCTTCTACAAACATTTGCGAAAGCTTTCAGGAGCTCAGTGAATTCAAGCGTGGTACTGTGACAGGTTGCCACCTGTGCAATAAGTCCATCTGTGAAATTTCCTTGCTAATAAATATTCCACGGTCAACTGTTAGGGGTATTATAACAAAGTGGAAGCAACCGGGAACAACAGCAGCTCAGCCACAAAGTGGTAGGCCATATAAAATGACAGAGCGGTGTCAGCGCATTCTGAAGCTCTCTGCATGTAGAAGTCACCAACTGTCTGCATAGTCAATAGCTAAAGACCTCCAAGACTTCCCAGTGGAACCGTACTTGCCTGACTGCATTGTGCCAAGTGTAAAGTTTGGTGGAGGGGGATTAGGGTGTGGGGGGGTTTTTCATGGGTCGGGCTTGGCCCCTTAGATCCGGTGAAGGTAACTCTTAAGGTGTCAGCATACCAAGACATTTTGGACAATTTCATGCTCCCAACTTTGAGGGAACAGTTTGGAGATGGCCCCTTCCTGTTCCAACATGACTGTGCACCAGTGCACAAAGCAAGGTCTATGTAAAGACATGGATGAGCATGTTTGGCGTGGAGGAACTTGACTGGCCTGCATAGAATCCTGACCTCAACCTGATAGAACACCTTTGGGAGTTAGAGCGGAGACTGTGGGCCAGGCCTTCTCATCCGGCATCGGTGCCTGACCTTACATATGTGCTTCTGGAAGAATGATCAAACATTCCCATAGACACACTCCTAACCTTTGTGGATAGCCTTCCCAGAAGATATGAAGCTGTTATAGCTGCAAGGCATGGGCCAACTCAATATTGAATCCAATGGACTAAGACTGGGATGCCATTAAAGGCAGGTGTCCCAATACTTTTGGCAATATAGTGCATGTGGAAGTTGCAGTGCCTATGCCAAAGCTTTTCTGTATACTACGGCCCTAGCTCTATATTTATGAGCGTCTCTGAGTTGTAGCACATACAGAAGTGATAGATTAAGGGCAGTTCTTTGCCTGGAGGAAGCCCATTCCTCCTTAAAGGCACAGGGACATATTGGATGCCCAGCAAGAGCACAATGGCAGCTGAAGGCATCCAATGTGTCCCCACACCAAATCCAGTTAAAAAGCTATACAAAATGATGTCAACCGCCCCAATTTATAACTAGCCTTTGCAGTAAGGTGCACATGGAAGAGAAATCACTAACAGACACAAATTTCCCAGCACACTTACCAGCCAGCCTATGCTCCTCTGTAATATTGTGGCCCTAACCCTATGTTTCTGACAGACTTCAAGTTGTAGCATATATAGCCATGGATAAATTAACCCTCATCCAGCCCCAGCCTGTAAGGCCCCTTTCCCATATGTGGACCATTTATTTCATCAGTTCAGTTACGTATTTTCAAAGAAAAATCAAATTAAGTTTACATCAGTATTTCATCCATTTTTCTACAACCGTAAGCTAGAGTCCTTAACCACTTCTGGAGAACTCAAATGTTTTCAAGCAAAAACAGACCATTTGTCCATTTACATCAGTTTTTCATCCATTCTGTTTTCTTAACAGAACAAAAATAGGGCTTTGATCTGTTTCAAAAAACGGATATTAATGGATATGGATGTAAACAGATGATCATTTATAGAGCTGCATTGATGTACATTTTTAATTCATCAACAGATAGATAAAAAGCTGATAAATGGTTCACAGGTGTGAAAGAGGCCTTAAACTCTATGAAAGGCTGAACGCTGCTGTGGCTGGACAGGGCTGGATGGTGCACTGAGTGGTATTAACATTTAGGGCCCTATGCGTCCAGGGATGAATTCCCAGAATGCAGATCCCTTGCATATTCTGCACATTTTTTTATTTGTCAGGGATGTCAGCCTCCAGTGCAGACAGAAGAGGCTGGAGGATGATGAGACCAAGAAGTGTTTGTTACAGAACCCAACAAATAGGAACCTATTTAACAAATGTAAATAGGATTTCTTTACCAAATAATGTTTAATGAAGATTCCCTGTACATTAAACTCTTATAGTCCTGCTTTAGTTAGCAAACATTTTTGAGGTAATTATTTCATTATACATTACAGAAAATAAATTGCAAATAGACAAACACTTACTGCAGAAGTATTCTCATGTAAGCACTTATGACATAAGCTATTTCACAGAGAACTAAGAAATGCTTGACCTAAAATAATAATGCCAGATGATTATCATTTTGGAACAAAATCTCTTCACTGTAAATGTCTTCTGATATTATTTTCTACATAAAGCCAAGCTTACCATGCACAATTTTTACAGTTTGGTGCATTCAGCTAGTTTTGTCAGCATATATACTAACTGTAATTTATTTTGAAAATCATTTCTTTTTTTGCCTAGCTTGTTGAAAAATATAATTGATGACTTCCACTGTATTGCTTCATGATTGGTTGACTATTTACCCTGTAATCAGGGTTAAAGAAGATGTAAACTGCAATTGAATGACGTTTAGATTGCTATGGCACTGTGTGTCATAAACAATGGCCTTTTTTGAATACAATACTTGTTTTTACCTGTTCAGGGGCGGACTGACAACCCATGGGGCCCCCAGGCAATAGGGGATCATGGGGCCCCTGTGTCCTTGCCCAAACTCTCAAAAGCCTATGAAAAAGGTACTAGGGGCATCTCATGGGGCCCCCTACTGACCCCGGGCCCTCGGGCAGTGCCCGAGTTTCCAAATGGTCAGTCCGCCCCTGTACCTGTTTTATTAGTTACAACTCAGTTCTGTTGAGCTCCTGCAGCTTCTTTGCAGGCACACCCTGTTTAAATTAATACACTCTAGCAATGGCTGTGTCGCACTATTCAAGGCTCTTGATGGTGACAACAATGGACCATGCCTGTGAATGTGTGTTGAAACAGCAGATTTAAAATAATTATAGAAATTACTTTAACATGTTAAAGCCTATATTAGATTTTTAATGACTGGGTGTACATACAGTATATCTTAAAGTGTATCTAAACAAGTGTAAAAAGAACAAATATATACAGCAGCTACCAGTCCTTGGATCTAGTGTATGCATTAGTTTTCTTGTTTTCAGACCTTTTTGCCCTTAATTTTCATTGGTTACCTGCCAGTAACATACTTCCTGCTCTTGTATGATAATCCTCACATAATATATACTGTATATAAAAGTAGGGTTGTCCATCCAGGACAGAAAGTGTGCTCTCCTGACCTCCTGACATGGGGAAAATGTTCTGTAGTCCATGAAGAGAGCTGAGAACAATGCTATCTGATAACAGTCACAACTTTAATCAGCCAAGAAGCTTCAGCATATGGTCCTGCCCCCAGATGGACTTAATCATAGAGAAAGGATTCTCCATGATGAAGCCCATTAGGTAAAACATTTCAGAGGGGTGGTCCTGAGAGTAGGACTGATTTACAAAACTGTTGTAAGAGTACATAAAGTAGGGGTGGAATAATGCTAATGTTCTATACATACAGATATTGTAAGTGTCTATGATTTTGATTTTCACAGTTTAACATTAATTGAATTAAAACGTAGTCAAAAAGTCAGTTTGTTTAGAGATTCAAACTACAGGAGATGGTCAGAGACTGCAGGCATACTACAGGAGTTGATCAGAGGCTACAGGCATACTACAGGAGATGGACAGATACTGAAGACATAATACTGGAGATGGTCAGAGACTACAAGCATACTACATGGGATGATCAGAGACTGTGGACATGATACAGGAGATGGCCAGAGACTGCAGGCATACTACAGGAGATGGTCAAGACTGCAAGCATACTACAGGAGATGGTCAGAGACTAAAGACATATAAACACTTGTTAGGCACATATTTAACCTCTTGATTGCCCTATATGTTAACCCCTTTATGCCCAGTGTCATTACTACAGTGACAATGCATATTATTACTTCTGATCACTGTAATAATGTCACTGGTGATGCGAGTGGCAATTAATCAATTCCCCCCAGCATCAGTTTGTGTTAGATTGCCAGCCACACTATTGCAGTTCCGGTTTAAGTTGCTGGTTGCTGCCATTACTAGTATAAAATAACTACCGTATTTTTCGCTCCATAAAATGCACCTGACCATAAGACGCGCCTAGGTTTTAGAGGCAAAAACAAGAAAAAAAAATATTCTGAACCAATGGACTGCAGACACAGTACAGGGGATGACCAGAGACTGCGGACGCAATACAGGAGATGACCAGAGACTGCGGACACAGTGCAGGAGATGACCAGAGACTGCGGACACAGTGCAGGAGATGACCAGAGACTGCGGACACAGTGCAGGGAATGACCAGAGACTGCAGACAGTGCAGGGAATGACCAGAGACTGCAGACAGTGCAGGGAATGACCAGAGACTGCAGACAGTGCAGGGGATGACCAGAGACTGCAAACAGTGCAGGGGATGACCAGAGACTGCAGACAGTGCAGGGGATGACCAGAGACTGCAGACAGTGCAGGGAATGACCAGAGACTGCAGACAGTGCAGGGGATGACCAGAGACTGCAGACAGTGCAGGGAATGACCAGAGACTGCAGACAGTGCAGGGGATGACCAGAGACTGCAGACAGTGCAGGGAATGACCAGAGACTGCAGACAGTGCAGGGGATGACCAGAGACTGCAGACAGTGCAGGGAATGACCAGAGACTGCAGACAGTGCAGGGAATGACCAGAGACTGCAGACAGTGCAGGGAATGACCAGAGACTGCAGACAGTGCAGGGGATGACCAGAGACTGCAGACAGTGCAGGGGATGACCAGAGACTGCAGACAGTGCAGGGGATGACCAGAGACTGCAGACAGTGCAGGGGATGACCAGAGACTGCAGACAGTGCAGGGGATGACCAGAGACTGCAGACAGTGCAGGGGATGACCAGAGACTGCAGACAGTGCAGGGGATGACCAGAGACTGTAGACAGTGCAGGGAATGACCAGAGACTGCAGACAGTGCAGGGAATGACCAGAGACTGCTGACCTTTGGGGAGGGAGGGGGAGCGTGTACCTGAATTTGACAGGTACCCGCTCCCACTTCCGCGGAGTTGTCCTTCCCTCTTCTTCTAGGGCCGGCTTCTGTGACAGCCGGGTGCCCATTGCGCATGCGCGAGAAGCGCTGCGCTTTGTGAATGGCCCGGAGCCTTCTGGGACCTGTCATGTGTCCCAGAAGACACCGGATCATTCACAAAGTGCAGCACATGCACAGTGGGCACCCGGCTGTCACAGAAGCCAGCGCGGGAAGACTGCAGCGCTGGAGCGAGGAACAGGTAAGGCCCTGCAGGAGAGAACAGCTGAGCGGCCGGCCCGGTATTCTGACATGGTGGCGGCAGAAATACCGGACCGGCCGCTTTATATTCACTCCATAAGACACACTGACATTTTCCCCCCTTTTTTGGGGGGAAAAAAGTGCGTCTTATGGAGCAAAAAATACGGTAAATAAATAAAAATTCCAGTATATAAGCCATAGTTTATAGTCGCTATAACTTTCACACAAACCAATCAATATAAACTTATTGGGATTTTATTTTTTACCAAAGACATGTAGCAGAGTACATTTTGGCTTAAATTTCTTAAGAGATTTTTTTTTGGGGGGCGTTATGTTTTATAGCAGAAAGTACTAAAAAGTTTTTTTTTTTCAAAATTGTCTGTCTTTTTTCATTTATATAATAAAAAATAAATCTTGCTGTTCTTCCCCACTTCTCTTTTCTTTCTCTTTTACTTCCGCCTTTGGTTTTTTCTGTTGGGTCACCAGCAGGGATAATCTGTGAATTGAGATTTGTTCTTATATACACTATATTGCCAAAAGTATTGGGACGCCTGCCTTTACACGCACATGAACTTTAATGGCATACCAGTCTTAGTCCGTAGGGTTCAATATTGAGTTTGCCCACCCTTTGCAGCTATAACAGCTTCAACTCCTCTGGGAAGGCTGTCCACAAGGTTTAGGAGTGTGTTTATGGGAATGTTTGACCATTCTTCCAGAAGTGCATTTGTGAGGTCAGGCACTGATGTCGGACGGGAAGGCCTGGCTCACAGTCTCTATTCTAATTCATCCCAAAAGTATGCTATCAGGTTGAGGTCAGGACTCCGTGTAGACTAGTAAAACCCCAAACTCGCTCATTCATGTCTTTATGGACTTTTCTTGTGCACTGGTGTGCAGTCATGTTGGAACAGGAAGGAGTCATCCTCAAACTGTTCCCACAAAGTTTGGAGCATGAAATTGTCCAAAATGTCTTGGTATGCTGATGCCTTAAAAGTTCACTTTACACTTGGCGCAATGCAGTCAGCAAGTACTGTTCTCCTGGTAACTGCCAAACCCAGACACGTCCATCGGATTGCAAGACTGAGAAGTTTGATTCCTCACTCCAGAGAACACGTATCCACCAGTGGCTTAACTAGAACCTACAGGACTCCGGTGCAAGAAACCATTAAGAGCCCCCATGACCCCTTTTAGGGCCCTTCCTTCTGAGCCCGGGGCACCAGGGCCCGGTTGCAAGTACAACCTTTATGACCCTTGTAGTTCCACCACTGGTATCAGTAGTTTTTTATTTTTGTTATTTTATTTTGTTATTATTTTGGGGAGCTTTAGTGAAATATCAGGGGTCTAAGCAGACCTCTGATGTTCCACCTTTGAGACAGAGAAAGGACACTGAGGACACAGCTCTCATCTCCTTCTCTGCAGCCTCAGATGTACTGAATAAATGGACAGGAATTGTGCAGAGCTCCCTGTGCATTCATAAACTGAAGCATAGTAAACACAGTTTACTATGCCCCAGTTATGAATGGATAAAGTCAATGATCGGTACAGTGATTCAGAGAAAGAAGGGGCCAGTAAATGACACATTTACCAGCCCCTTTTCCACTCTCTATCCTTATAGATCCCCCCACAGCAGCTGGTGGCAGTGGGAAGGGGGGAACCCGATAGAGCTATGAGGGATGAGGGGGGGATCGGGAAAGAGCACAGCTGGATTGGAGGAATGGCAGGGGCGGCTGCATATAGAGGAATCTTACTCTTCATTTACCTCCTGCAGTCACTGTATGCCCGATCCTCCTTCTCTCCCTCCTGCAGGCATGGAAAGGCAGGCAGGAGGAAAATGGAGAGATTGATTGCCCTATATGCAGCTGCCCCCACTGCTACTCCTATCCAGGCATATAGGTAGGGCCGGTGCAAAGATTTTTGCCTACACAGGTGAAAGTGCATCCCCCCCTCTTTCAGCCAACCTGCACTGGTACTGCTGCCCAGCTACTGCCCCCTATCTTCCAGATACCCTGCACTGATAATACTGTACCCCCCCATCCTCCAGACACTGTGCACTGGTACTGCTAGACCCCCTCTGCCCTCCAGCAACCTCACACTGGCATTTCTGTACCCCCCCATGTCGAGCGACCCCACTGGTACACCCCAAATATCCCCAAGCAGCTGGGGATTTAGATTTTACTGCCCCTTCCTGGCACCCTAGGGTGGCTGACACCTGCCCTGCCAGCCAGCATGGTTTGAAGATGGGGTTCCTGTCCCTAGGGAAGATAGGGTTTCTGTCCAGAGGGGAAATGGGGGCCCTGTCCTAAAGGGAGATGGTGTCCTTTTCCCCAGGGGAGATGGGGTCCCGGTCCCCAGGTGAGGTATCAAATAAAAAACATAATGGATGATTCCAAAGAAAAATATGCTGGAGAGTGGAGAAATTAAATAAACTGTTTAGTAGTCACTGTGGAAGAACTACAAACTGGCCCCCTACCTGGTGGTGCTACAGGGCCCCAAAGACAGACAGTCCCTGAGCCTGTTTACAGCGCACACAGCTTGAAAATCAGTTTTATGATGACACAGGTAGACCTGCAAGCCTAGGGAAAGAAGACTGTGGCAGCAATGGTTCTAGAGGATGAGGACTGCTACAGTGTGCCAAGTGAGGGACGCTCAAGAAGAATATGAAGATGAAAATAGCTATGTGTCAGACTGAGAGAGGCATGAAAACTGAGAACCTAAAAATCCTTTTCATGGCTTCACACCAGGACGGATCAGGCACCTTCCCTGGTTGCCATCTTGGGGGTGCTGATCTTGGGAGGTTCCCTCCTATGTAAGTGGAGGGGTTACATGGTTGGGATCGGTTCATGTATCTCCGATGCAATGTGTTTTTACCACTTATGTCTCATTGATATACAATAAATATGCAATAATAAATATTTGAGGGAAGCCTTTTAGGTGTGTAGCCTATTTTCTTTTTCTTTTTTTCTTTTGGTTTTTCTTGTATTGCTTTAGAGAGAGAGAGAGAGAGATGGCTATGGAGGAAGCTGATTGGAGGACAGGTGAGACATCAGGCATCTTTTAGACCCCGAAAAGTTCTAAAAAAAAAAAGAGAAAGCAAAAAAAAAAGAAGAATTGTAAAAAATTGAAGTTACATCCAAGCACTTAAAATCACCCCCAAAAATGTTGAGTTCATATCCTGCTTATGAACTTAAATGCAGGTGCTGGGGTCATCTACATACAAAAATTTCAATTACACTGCTTTTTACATATTGCCATGCACGCTGGAGTGAGAGCAATAATTCTAGGCCCATTGTACATGGTTAACTTTAAGCTGATGACCTGTAGGGGATTTTAAAGTGTTGCCTATGGAAAATATAGAGTAGTGAAATTTGTTGCCATTTCACAAACACACTCAATTTTAAGGTTTAACATGCTGGGTATCTATTTACTTGGCACAACCTTGTATTTTATATTTAACCAAACATTACATAATTTATTGTGTTTGTGCTATAAAATTAACTTCAGTGCATTTTGTACTGAAATTGTGCGTTTCTTAAACTGTTCAGGTAATATCATATGACCTAAAACCTTGGAACTACTACTATTTTATTTTCTAGCATTTCTGATTTAAAAAAAAAAAATATATGTGTGGGGGTTTTATGCAATAAATGATTTTAAAAATAAAATGTGTGCGAAAAATGAAAAAATGGCCTGCTCAAGATTCAGCAAGCATTTGTGCCAGTTTTGGTAACATTATCAACATGAGTGACAAAATTACATTAATGCTAAATACCTCCACTCTAGGAACCTGATTGACTTCATACAGTTGGATTCAAAAAGCCGCTATTGGATTCAGTATTGGCTAAGTATCCACCCACTGCCGTGCACTGTCCATCAATAGCAACGCTGACCTAACAGAAAACTTGCCTCTCAGTGTCCAACCAAGCTCCAGCCACCTTTACCACAAAACACCTAGGCCATTTGCTGTCGGTGTGATTGACATAGTGGCTGGAGTGGAAGGGAGCACACCGAGCAAGGATTGCCCAGTATAGA